TTCTATGAAGACTGATATTATGAGTTTTTTTCTTGTTCTACAAAAATTGATGTTTTATATCAATATTATTGTTATTTTTATTTTGACCAATAGTAAAAGGAAAGAAGTAAAATTAGTATTACTAAACAAACAAAATAATAATAAAAAATTATAAAAGTTACTTTTTTTTTTTAATTTGTGTGAAAAATCCACAACATCAAATTTCATAAAACAGATGAAGTATATTTTTTAATCACTTTTCTCGAAAAATAAGCCGTTTGGACCTACAACTGTATGGAGTTTAGACCAAAAATTGTATGGAGTTTTTTTATTACTATTATTTAGTTTTGATATTGATTAATAGAAGGTTGAGACAGTTCTCATATACGAATCACTATTAAATATGAAGATAACATTTGAAAGACATGACATGAGTTACTATTTAATCAATAAAAGTCATTATAAACAAAAATAAGAAAAACAAAAAACAAAAAAGTCTCGAATCTAAAAAAATAAAGAACCCATACCGTTGAGTCGTACTTTCATCAGAGATTCACACAGTAATTATCAACATATCAATTAAGAATAATAAAACATATGAAGCAAAGAATAAAAGTCAACCGATTAAATAGAAATCTGTATCGTTTCGCTAACCATGTCCACAATGTAAATTATTGAAGAATTCTTTTAGTTTTTGTTTGCTTGCTTGGTATTAGAACTAATTGGATAAATTAAAGTTAAATGGTTTAAGACAAATCAAAAAATTGATCGAAAACTAATACTTTTGCATGAATCAGATTTTTTTTTTCAACAGTTTAATTAGATTAGCTTATACAAGCCAATAGAGAATAACTATTTATATAAATAATAATATGCGGTTGAGTACAAATTGTTCGTGCCAAATTATCCATTTTTACATTTGCACATCAAGAAATCAAAAATAATGAGAAAAAATCAAACTTATCCGTGTCACTCTGAATCGCCTCTAGATATGAAGAGAAGGTTGGCCGCTCCATCGGAGAAGACACCATCTTCAACAGGTCTGAGTAGTCTGTAAAGAAACTCACTTCTCGTTTGTTTTGGCTAATCATACATCTCATAGCCCAAACGAGTGCTTTAGCTTCTGCGTGTAGACATGTTAGACTCTGTCGAAGGTGGTTGTGCCCATTGTTGTCTCGTTAGCATTAGGTAGTATACAAAACTATTCTAAACCCGAAAAATTATTACTCTCTTTCCATGAGCTATCAATGAAACATCTATACCCGTGGAATTTATATCCTTGGGGCCAACTGTGCCAAAATATTAACTACCTCCATTTGGGCTTGATTCCAAGCATTTGCCTCATTTCCGCTAATTTAAGTGTCTCTCTAGGATCTTGATTAATGTTTTTGTGTATTCTCTCATTCTGTGCTTTCTAGATATACCACATGATTCAAGGAAAACTTGAACTATGCACATCTATCAGTGTTCTCCAAAACAAATGATCAATGTTCACAAATAGTGATAAGCATCGGAAAATTCCTGGAACCGTTGGTATTTGCGATAAAACCCATATTTGAAGGGCTGAGAGCATTCAAAAATTGCATGGTTAATTGTCTCCTCTGGAGCTCCTCATCTACCACAAACTGTATCACAATCAATTCCTCTTTTCCCTAGATTTGAAGTAACATGCACACACCCCATACTAACTTGCCAAATGAAATGTCTTAGCTTTAGTGGACATTGGACTTTCCAAGAGTAAGCTTGAAGAAGCCCCTGTTAGAGTAGTTAGAATATTATCTCGATATGTTAGAGTAGTTAGAATATCCTTTGGATATGCTCTGCAAATATACTCTGTAGATCTTATAGATTCCACAATCTTAGGAACTCTTGCTTGTATAAATAGGAGCTGTTCTCAGCTCTCATAATCATCAATATACACAATTCACATGGTATCAGAGCAGCGATCTCTCTAAATCCAAAAAGTTTCTCTTTTTTTTTTGGGAAAAATGTCGACATGCCTAAAATGGCCAAGTCAACGAAAACTTAACCATTTAATCAAAATTCAAACTAAACTTTATAATTTAAATGACATTTCAAAAGTTCATGCTTTATTTGTCCCAAATTCGAAAGTTCGCGCATTTTCTAACATTTTTCCTTTTTTTTTTTTCCTTCCTTTCTTGCTTATTCTTCTCTTTCTTTGCATCAATGGCTTCCGCCCCTGCTGCTATTTCCAACTCCACTGCTGTGATCGTTAACCCAAACGATTCACAGAACCCAATCCTCTCCGTGAACATGAGTACTGTGACAAGACTCACAGCCTCAAACTATATCACGTGGAGCCTCCAAGTCTCTCTGTGTTTGGATGGATACAATCTGATGAAACACATCACAGATGAATCCTCCATTCCTCATCCAACGATCCAGGTCAATGACTTAACCACGCCAAATCCAGCACATACGGCTTGGCTTAGACAAGACAAACTGATCTTCTCTGCAATGTTGGGATCCATCTCAACACCAATTCAACTAATCGTCTCCACGGCAGTCACCGCTCTTCAAGCATGGAACACACTTCGCTCTAACTTTGGTCGTCCTTCTTGTGTGTCTTTTTAGGCTATTCTCTTACTCAAAATGCCTATCTCTGTTTTAAAAGAAACTTCTCGTCTCTATGCTTCTCGACATGTAGAATTTTTTGAGTCATCTTTTCCTTTCGAAACACCAACTCTGTCCTCTCCGGTACCTATCTCTGTTCCGGACAGCTCTCCTCCAGTCACACCGCTACCTCCAGTTGTCACTCCCATTTTTAGTGATGCGTCCCCTGGCTTAGCTTCCTCATCCTCGACAAATCTTGGGAATAATGTAACACACACTGTCATTACGCCGGCCTCATCTTCAGCCACCACTGCTGCAGACATCGTCTCAACTACAGCTACTATCGACCACAATTGTACCACATCCTGTTGTACAATCAACACATCCCATGGTGACTCGAACACAGAGTGGTATAATCAAATCAAACCCAAGGTATGCTCTAAGTATTGTTGCGACTCGTGATAATGACACTAAGCCTAAAACGCACCAGCAAGCTCTCAAATATCATCGTTAGCGTGGCTCTATGTGTGAAGAAATTGATTCCCAAGTGAGAAACAGAACCTAGGATTTGGTACCTCCGGACCCAACGTATAATATTGTTGGGTGTCGCTGGGTTTTTCGTATTAAACGAAACTCTGATGGTACGGTGGATCGTTTCAAATCTAGATTGGTTGCAAAAGGCTTCAATCAAAGACCAGGCGTTCACTATTTTGAGACTTATAGTCCAGTTGTTAAACATACGACTATTCGTTTAGTTCTTGGACAAGCTGTTGGTCGTGGCTGGTTACTTCGTCAACTGGATGTCAATAATGCCTTTTTAGAGGGACCATTGTCTGAGGAGGTCTATATGGCTCAACCACCAGGCTTCGTTGATGTCGACAAACCGGATTATGTCTGCAAATTATTTAAAGCCATATATGGGCTCAAACAGGCCCCGAGAGCGTGGTATACGGTTCTTCGTGATTTTCTACTTGAAGCTGGGTTTTTCAATTTCGTAGCTGACATGTCGCTTTTCATACTTGACAAAGCTGGTATAACTCTGTTTGTCTTGGGATATGTAGATGATATCGTGGTAACATGGAATTCTCCAACTCATGTTCAGCTATTCATTGATTTGCTTACTGCCCGATTTTCCTTAAAGGACGTGGGTGCGCTCAGCTACTTCCTTGGAATTGAGGTTACTAGAACTGTTAATGGTCTTACTCTCACTCAAATGAAGTATATCAATGATCTTCTTCAACGCACAAACATGGTCTGCTGCAAACCCGTCTCCACTCCAATGGCTGATCATCCCACGCTTACAGCCACGACTGCCTCGGGTGTTCTGCTCACTGATCCAACAGAGTACCGGTCTATTGTTGGCAGTCTTCAGTATCTTCTTTTCACTCGCCCAGACATTGCTTTCGCAGTCAATAAGCTCTCTCAATTTACGCATCAGCTGCGTGAAGAACACTGGCTTGCTACTAAGAGAGTTCTGCGTTATCTCAGCGGTACTAAAAAGATGGGTCTGTTTTTCTCTGCCAACAGTCCACTATCTGTTCACTCTTTCTCGGATGCTGACCGGACTGGGGATCAAGAAAATTATTCTTCTATAGGAGCTTACTTGGTGTATGTGGGTAAGCATCTCATTTCATGGTCGTCTAAAAAGCAGAAGACGATTGCTCGTTCTTCCACAGAGGCAGAATACAAGTCGGTCTCAGCTACTGCGTCAGAGGTTGAGTGGGTCATGACTCTACTTGGCGAGCTCGGCTTCTCTCCTTCCAATCCTCCGGTCATTTACTGTGACAATATTAGTGCCACTTATTTGTGTGCAAATCCAGTTTATTATTCAAGAATGAAGCATGTTGTAGTTGATTTTCATGTTATTCGAGACATGGTCCAGAAGGGTCTTCTCAGTGTGCGTCATGTCACTTCTGCTGATCAGCTGGCAGATGCCTTAACTAAACCGTTGCCTTGTGCCAAATTCACTCCAATGTGTGTCAAGATTGGCCTTTCTACTCTCGGCGCATCTTGAGGGGGCGTGTTAGAGTAGTTAGAATATTATCTCGATATGTTAGAGTAGTTAGAATATCCTTTGGATATGCTCTGCAAATATACTCTGTAGATCTTGTAGATTCCACAATCTTAGGAACTCTTGCTTGTATAAATAGGAGCTGTTCTCAGCTCTCATAATCATCAATAGACACAAACATTCCGCAAGTAAAGATAACCCATCTTGCTTTGCCGTAACTTCCATCACCGAGACATTGTATAAACTAGATAAAGAACAATACATTCTTTTTATTAATGTGTCAATACCATAGATAATATATGTTACATATATGATATGATAATTGAGATACATAAAAATCGGAAAAAAAAACCTTAAAACAAATTCTGTGATTTATTGAGATCAGATTATTAAAACTGGAAAGAGATTGAAATTCATGTTCTTTTAAAGAGCTTCTTTATAAGATACCCACCCACCACTCACTCATCCAACCTGAGATACACATCAAACGTTTTGGAGGAGCTCTTTCTACTTGATTAGTACCCCTACCCACCGTTGGGCTAATAGGTTTGGTAACTGTCCTCTTGCCAGGTGATGTCAAGCTATGCACATTTCTCTTCCTCGAACTGACCCCTGTAAAGAGAACGTTACTATTCACCGTTTTCTTCTCTAATTGCTGCTCTCTTGGATTTTGCATCCTCTTTATTTTCCTGAATTTCATCATCCCGTACACCAACCGGATTATACACCAAATTAAACTCTTCCTCCTCCTGAGCATCTTCAGTCGCTTCTTGGTCCTCCCCCTCATCATTAGCCGGCTAAGATCCATTATAGTGTCCAGATAGTTCAAAGCCGGATCCTCAAAGATATGAATATCTTGAGCCATGAGTTGACTTAAGTCATCCGGAAACAAATCATGTTGTTTCTTTAAACCAATTGATGCCCCATCCCTTTCCTTCCCAACAGCCTCCTCTGGATCAGCAAACAAGGATTTGCACACCATCTTTGAGGAGAGTATAACAATGGAATCCATTGCACCAGAATATGTCACAGTATTTCCGGAGTTAGTGCCAAGAAAGGGATCCAACAACCACTTCCCCTACTGCAGTATTCTGCTGACTTAACTGTGTTACTTGAATAGCTAGATCAAAACTTGACTCTTGAACATGTGCCAAAAAAGGATTCTTCCTTCCCTTCTTGAGTTTATTACTAAGGCTCTATTTGTAACGGTGATCACTCTCCTGAGGACATGAATTTTTCTTGTTATTCACTGCCTGCCCATGAAGCATTTAATTCTACTGTACCAACCCCACTCTAACCCGATGCACTTCCACTTGGTAAACCTTATGAGACAACACCTTTGTAACTTTGCATATTGTTGCCCATCTTCGGATACGTTGGAATTAGATCTGATGTTTGCTTCCCCTAATTTTCGAATCTTGGATACCTCATCTAATCATGGCACAGGCTGTGGCATTTCCTATAGAAGCCAAACAATATTTCATACCTCAGTGATTTCATAGTGGATAAGGATTCCTTCTTCTCGTACATCTATATATACATTTTGCAAGTACATTTGGAAAAAACCCTTGGCCTTTAGACTTATTTACACTAGCATGCCACTAGATTTAATTCTTAAGATTTAAAAATATTTAATGAAAGATTATATACTTAAAACAACATCTCTTTCGACAAAAAAAAAGAAAAAAAACAGTTGCGCAAATCTTTCCAATAATCTTGATTAGAGATTATTTAATCAAATCTCTAAATCATATATTTCCTTAAATTCTATATTCTTCTTTGCTTTGGATTTGTGAATAAAACTATATTATAGATTGGTAATTATAAAGATTTGTAGAATATTCAAACGTGACAAACAATTATTTTAATAAGAAATTATTAAATTATATATGTTTAGCGGGTTAATCGTAAAAACACCAAAAGGTTAATCGTATAACTTACTAAACAAAAAACTGTAAATATCTAACATTGTAATATATCAAAATAAGTGTTAATCTCCTTTGACACCTCTACATGTATAATTGCAATACTACGATACTAAATTATATTCTATGGGTTAAATCTAAAAACATAAATCATATAATTTTAATGCTAAAATTTATAAAAATTTAATGTTGCCAAGTAAAGAAATAAAATATGACCCCAAGGTGTATCGCAGACTAAATTTTACTGTGCTAGTAAAATGAGATCTTCATTTCTACCATTCTCGCCTTTGGATTCTGCTTCATCTTCAACAAGACATAAAACACAAACACCATAAGCTACTTAACTAGCACATAACATCATCATATCATTTGACTTAAGAAACAAATCACTTCTTGCTGGTTTTGTTGATGAGAGACTTGTGGATGTTAGGGACTACACCTCATCCACTAATTGTGCCTTTGATGATTGTGTCAAGCTCCTTATCTCCTGTGATCGCCAAATACAAATGCCTAGGTGTATTCCTCTTCACTTTTAGATATTTGCTCGCGTTTCCAGCTAACTCAATAACCTATGCAGTTAGGCATTCTAGGATTGAAGCCGCGTAGACAGCAACAGTAGCATCAAGTCGACCATGTTCAGATACTCTGGTCTTGATTTGCATATGAATACGACCCATCGGAAGCTGAAATAAACAAAGAAATTTCATGTTTCTTTGTAGTCTAATTTTATGAAATTTCACATTGATACTATTTCTTTTTTTATTTCAGTTTCCACTGGGTCGTATTCACAGGCAACTCAAGACCAAAGTTTCTCCACATGGTAGAGTTGGTGCCACTGCTGATGTCTACACGGCTTCAATCCTTGAATACCTAACTACAAAGGTTCTTGACTTGGCTGGAAACGCGAGCAAAGATCTGAAAGTGAAGAGGATAACTCCAAGACATTTGCAGTTGGCGATCAGAGGAGATGAGGAGCTTGACACACTCATCAAAGGAACAATTGCTGGAGGAGGTGTGATCCCTCACATCCACTAGTCTCTCATCAGCAAAACCACCAATGAGTGATTTGTTTCTTAGACAAACGATATGGTGTGACTTGCTAGTTAAGTAGCTTATGGTGTTTGTGTTTCTTTAGTCTTGGATCGGAGAAGTAGTGTAAGTGCTAAGTCTTAAGATGCTTCTCTCTATATAACAAACTATCTGAGAAGAAAAAAAGATAGGAATGAAAATACAGACTCATCCAAGTAAAATGTAAAAAATGAATTAAAGTAGTTTGATTTATTGTTTTACTCAAGAAAGTTTTCTATTTTGCGACAAGAGACATGATACATCAACCTCACAAGTCGGCTTATGTGGCAAAACAAATAGTTTGTGTGAGTAAAATAATAAAGTCTATCTTCTTCAATTCAGGTTCTACATTTTTATGCAAAATTTTGGATGGATTTTTAGTTTATATTTCTTTTTTTCCTTCTCAAATGTTGGAAGAAGTAACTGATGATCGCAAAAGGAATACATAAGAGTAGACGTACTTTGTTGTAGTCTTCCTTTAGGTCAGATAAAAAGAAGTACATAATACTATCTAAACCGTGGAGAAAGCTGTGAAGATTTTGGAAACTGAATTCGTGTGGTCCTCTTACTTGTCTTTCATCAAAGATATGTAGTGGAATCATGCAAGAAGTGAATGATCATCTTCTTTGAATAGGCTTGATGATCTTGCATTGCGCTTCGAAGATGCAATATAAGCTTAATATATCATAACTACTAATGGTCATGGAATTCTACATTTTTTTTTGTTTTGTTGTTGCTTGATTCGTTATCCACCTGATGATCAATGATCTTCATTGATGTTCATGCGACTTCACTCACTAATTCTTAGGCCCAAAGAATATTATCTATTGGGAAACATCACACATTACCGCATATGTCATTGTAAGATATCAGAAAAAGACTGTCCAAACGATTCGACTTATGCATTAGTCACTACAATGGATAACTCCTCTTAGTTTTCATCATCATCTCCTAACTAGTTGATGCAAATTTCTACCTCAGCGTAGGGACATGCAAATTTCTATCCTCTTAGTTTCTCATTCTCAAAAGTTTGGAAGCTCACTTCTTGAGATTCATCTCCTTCCTTTTAAACGTCATAATTTTAGGTCTCATCTCGTAGACGATAGGAGAAGTCCTTTGCTCCTAGAGTTTGGGTGCTATACAATTCACAGGGACATGCAATCCATGTGGCTCCTTAAAACCTAAACCAAGCATGCACAACTAGTGGACCATCTTCATATTCGTGAATGAGTAAAATCTCTTCAATGATGCATACTCGTGCGTCAAATTGTATTGACTTGCAGGTTTATTTAAAGTTTCATTGTTATAAATAAGCCGTATAGGCCTAAAGTTGTATGGAATTTTTGATTGAGTTATGATATCTTATTAGATAAAGGTGAGTTATGATATGTTATCCTACCCGAAAAAAGAAATAAAATTTTACTAATCTTATTATATAAAGTTTCAACATTCTTAACAGAGCTTGTCATATTGCAAAACTGTATTTCACGAAATGCGACACATTTCAGTTAATTAATTAAATTTTAAGACGTGTTTTAATATTTTTCAGTTTTGAAACTTAAATATGTTTATCCTTTTATTTCTTAAGAAAAACAAAAAATGATAATGAAATATATATCTACGTAAATTACAATATGTAATTATAATATATATATATATATATATATATATATATATAATTATGAAAATAGTATCAACATGAATGTTGCATTAATTGTAGTTGTCATGTTTGAGTTATAAGACATTTAAGACAAGTTAATGATTCCAAAGTTTAGCTTACATAGTTTAGTAGTTTAGCAGAGATTTTTTTTAAAAAACCTATAGGTTCTTTAGGGATATTTAGATAGAGTATATAAATTAAGATGAGAGTTACAACATTAAACTAACTAAATATATTTTGACTTATCGTTGGTTAAGTTTTAAAATAAAAATTAAAAAAGTAAAATTACGAAACCTTTTATATAAATAATCAACTCATAATTTTTTATACAATCTAAAAGAAAAAAAAACATAATTTGGGGGTTTGAAACCCATATATATGATAAGATTTACAGTTGGTTAAGTTGATATTTAATACGATATTTGTACAGTGGCAAAATCAATTACTACTTTTTTAATAAAATAATCATTTATCGAATATCCCGTGTATAACACACATCCTAATCTAATTGATTAATAAAGTTGAGATTGTTGTCATATACGAATCACTTTAAGAAATGAAATTAACATTTAAAAGACATGAATTTCTATCAAATCAATAGAAGTCATATATCAACAAAACAAAAAAAAAACAAAACAGTCCCTTATCAAATTTCTATCTAACCAATTTGAGTGTATGTTGTGCTAATAAAAAGTCTCAAATAAACAAAACACAAAATAAAATAAAAACAACAAAACAAAAAAGACAAGACGTACCGTACCGTTGACACAATGCATCCGTGCATGACTTATGTCAATTTTTTTCCGACAAAGCTCGTTGTATAAGCTCGTTATATCTATCTACTTTCATCACAGATCTATACAATAATTAACAATATATCTATTAAGAAAAAAAAATAAAACAAAGAATAAAGACCAACCGATTCAATTGAAATCTATATCGTTTTGCTAACCGTATCGACAGTGTAATCCAATTCCACTAGAGAATTCTTTCAGTTTTTGTTTGCTTGCTTGGTCTTAAAACTAAATCAATAAAAGTTAAATTGTTTAAGACAAGTATATCTGATATTTAATCGAATTTTGATATTATCTTGCCTGAAATGGATTCCTTCTTCTCGTACAAAGGCAGATCTAACATTGCCACACTGGCGATCACACCGAGAGCTACAAGAGTGCATCTGGGTATTTGGTTTACGCTTTATCTCCTCGCCTTTGGATTCTGCTTCATCGATCTTCAACAATGGATCAGAGAAGTTGTTGCGTCTATGGGGGCGGCTAGGTTCTTGTCTTTTGAAAAGGTTCTCTAAGACTTGCTATGCTTCAATATATATATGTATTCAGAAGAAATAAAAGGTGTAAACCCTAATTATCCTTTTTGTCTGAGTGGACAGGTGTCACAACGTGTTTGGACAACAAATAATCTAAAATCTTATCTAGTCAATCTAAACTCACTTCATTTCAACAAATATAGTATATTAATTTAATTATTTAATATAAACAAATAAAATTTAGTTTTTTTTTATTATTATTTTCCAACACTATTTTAGTTTTCAAAGATATTTTTCTATATATGACAAACTATTTGGATATGTATGAATTAACTATGATACAAAAAAAAAAAATAGTTGTGAAATAAATATAATTTTCTACTGGTGAATTCTATGATTGTTTGTTAAATGCTAACCAAAAGAAGAAGACTTCATACGTTTGGAGATTCGCTATGGGAGATGGCTCGATGATCAATGCTTTGTCCGATCCTTTGTTGCCTTCACGTCCACCAAGACTGCCACGACCTCGTAATCAAATTGTTGGAAATGATATGTTCTAAGACTGTGTGAGTGCCACAGGAAAAAGCTGGAACGAAACAAACATTAGAGAGTGGTTTTAGAAGAAGATGTCGAAGAAAGCTCAGCCACATTTTCAAAAATTAGTAGATTGTGGAAGAGTAGGAATTTAGTGTGTTTCAACGAAAGAGTTTACTCTGGGGAAATGTTTTATTTCTGGCCAAGAATGATATGAAAGATTGGGAGTTTACACAGGAGTACATAAGCAACAACATAAGCCATACGTTATGGAGAAGACGACCAGAGGATTGGACGACAAAGTGTAACTATATATGATGGATCCTTTGTCAATGGAAGATTGCCATCCAAATCAAGTTGGATTAGGTCAAGGCACAGGCAGAGTAACTATGAATGCTCTCAAAAGAGAACTATAAGCTTTGATCATGGCAATGCAAAATTATTATGTAATGAATGTCTAGTTTCAGTCTCACTTTTATGTTCCGTCTGTTATCACGAATACCGTATATTGTGTCTGATACTGTTTCAATCTCTTAGAACACACCAAGTAACATGAATGCCGTACAATGCTGTAGGAAATAGCCTATCTTCTTGTAGTGATTTAAACTCTTGACACCACTATTCTTAAAGTCAGACTTAAAAAAAAAAATTGTACTGGTGAAAAGAGTGAAAATGTTAAGAGTGATAATAGGTAGGTGCGTTTATATAATGTAAGTGACGAAATTTTTAAAATAATTAATTTAGCATTTGATGGTTTGAATATTTAACTATTTGAATATATATATATATATATATATATATATATATATATATATATATATATAATTGATTTAGGGTTTATACGTATCGTTTTATCTCGTCATTGATTGGTGCAGTTTACAATGTCGAAATTAACTATCCCCTTCTTTTTACTATCTCTGATTGATTACACACAAAAAATATACATATAGTAAATCCTTTATTACAGTGATAAAATTTATTCCCTCACATACTATATAAAGTTAAAATACCTTATATCTGAAATTATTAAAAATCTATCTAGAAGCTATATTATATTGTATATGTATAATAGAATATATTTTAATTTTAATTTTCAAAAGAAAATCTATCTTTTAAAAATTACATGATCTAACGTCCTACTGCGATTAGATTTTTAAAAAATTAAAAATATTAGATTTATTATTCGTCACGAATGCAACACATCTAGGGGTGTCAAAATGGATAAAAGTTAATGGATCAATCCAAACCAATCCAATCCATGGATATAATGAATGAGAAATTTGGATACTAATGGATTAATGGATTTAATGGATTAGTGAGTTTAATGAATTGGATTGAAATGGTTTATGTTAGAATGGATTAGTGGATTACTCATAACCAAACCAATAAAAATTAAACATTCTAAATCAAATGTCTAAACCAAATATAATCAAATCAAATGTCAAAACTGATTTTAATAAACCAATGTAGACATGATTTAACTATTAAATCCATGAAATAAATTTTTCCGCCAAAACGTGATTCAACATTTTCCCGCCAAAAATGCAATTCCGTAAAATTTTCCGCTAGAAATGGAATTTCGCATTTCCCGCCAAAAATATGATTCTACATTTTTCCGCCAAAAACGTGATTTCCTATTTTCCCGCCAAAACCGTGATTCCGCATTTTCCCGCCAAAAATGTGATTCCGTGATTTTCCCGCCAAAAAGTG